AGAATTGGGGAATATAGTATAGAGCAAGTTCTCTCCTACAGATACTTGGGCATCCTTTTTAATGCTTCAGGCCCAAAAAATAAAAACTGAGAAAGCTTTGGTAGGAATAATAAAGTTTTGGTGTACAAGTGGTGGTAGACAAATTCCTCCAATCCTAACTCTTTTAAAAACAAGTTAGTTCCTTACTTTTCATATGCAGTAGAGTTATGGGAATTTCTGCCTCTTATGATATGGAATTCTTTCAAAACAAGCTTGTTAGAACAGTTTTAGGTGTACCCAATGGTACTCCTATCCACTTTCTCTATGCAGAAACTGGTACACGCTCAATTAAAGCTAGAATAATTGTAAAGGCATTTAATTATTGGGCTAGGCTCCTCAAACTACCTGATCCCCAAATTGTTAAGCAGTGCCTCCTGGAGCAAATGAATTTCTCCACTCCTTCTCACACCAAATGGTTTATTTTTTTATCCAATCATATGCATACCTCTGGGTTTTCCCCAGAATTCTTTCTGAACTCAAATAACACCAATAATAGCCTGTTATTTAAAAACAGGGTGCTGGATGTCTTTGCCCAAAGAAATGTGTTTAAATTATCACACAATAAAATTAGCCTTGGTATGCACTCAATAAAACCAAAATCGAGGTGGCACATTCCATGTTCCTTTACACGGTGCCATCTATCAGCACCAAGGAACCATGCCTCCTCAGTCATCCCTGCCCTCTGGAATGAGATCTGCCCTGAAATCTGAGATCTGGCTCCCATTCTACTGGGGTTCTATAAGGCCTTGAACACCTGATTGTTCTCCCAGGCCTTGGGTTAAGATGGATGAAGCCCCTTGCTGGATGTGTTTTTGTCTCTGTTTTTGTATAGAGCGACCAGATTCCATCTTGTTTTGTTCTGTATTGTGTTTTTATTTTTTATTATATTGTGAGTCACTCAGAGTCAGTTTGGAATTAGGCAGCACTTATATCACTGGCCTTTGGTAATAGGCCCAGAGTCACCTTGGGTGAGATGGGCAGCTATATAAATATGATAGATAGATAGATAGATAGATAGATAGATAGATAGATAGATAGATAGATAGATAGATAGATAGATAGATATCTGAAGTTTTGTGTACAAAATGTCTTAGGTTTTGCAACACCTTACATATGTTCTTAGAGCAGCTGCATTGTCAATCTGTCTTAAGATCACAGGCACTGGTCTCATTCCATACCTTTTAATGTTGGAGGGAGCATGATGGTGGTAAGCTTCACATTTTGCCTGACTGTGCAAATATATGATTCAGTCTCTTCCTCAAAGATTTTGGATGCTTGAGTCTTGAGAACAGTGGTGGCTTACAGAGGAGAATCATAAATGTTTTAGTATTAGCATTAATATTATTTTCTTCCCAGAAAACACTTCAGATGGCTATTATTAAAAAAAAAGTTACAACGGTTAAAATTACTGTTTTAATATTATCATTTAACATTATATTTTTAAATAGCTGGCAGAACTACTACTGGCAGAAGCTAGATTCCTATTTGCTACTGAGATGTATATGCAAGATTAAAGCCAGCATGGAGAAATATACAGTATTATGCCCGACCAAAAATCAAACCTCTGTTTTTAAGCTGTAAAAAGTTTGCCTATTTTGAATGTGTTTGCCCAATATTCAACCATCACAGAGGACTACTGCAAAGTTCTACAAGCCCCAGTTTATATCAACAAAACAAACTGAAATTCTTATCATACACTGTACAAGCAGGGGTGTAAAGTTTCCTTGCTTTACCTAATTTCTTACCTTGTTTCTACTTAGACAATGGTTTCTTTTTCTGACTTTCTGAATGTGGTTTTAGGATTACAGGCTTAGACTGACATCTCATGCCACTTCATTTACTTGACTACCTAAGATAAACCTCACAGGAATTAATGATGATCCTAGATCCTTAAAAGTAGTATTTCCATGGCTCTTACAAGAAAGGTTCCCATTACGAAAGAAGTTGAGGAATCAGATGCTATTACCTCTGAAAGAGTGAGGTTCATTAATGTGTTTACACAATTTAGCTGATCAAATCAGCCCGTTCCACAGCCAACCAGATCATGATCAGCTACCCGTCAGTCATATTAATAGTCCCAGTTCAAACCACTTTAAAGGGGTTTGAGAGTTCCCCTTCCTGAGTTCCCCTCTCCCCTGCTGAAGTGAAAATAATAATAATAAACAACAACCATGATAGCACAATAGGGGTCAGTGCCACCTTAAGCAGAGTTGGGAGTATACCTACCCCACCCATTTTGCCCCTTTCTCATCATGACGGATAAAAACTAAATGGCTCCAGAGATGGAGCAGACATAGAGGATTAATTTTTCTAGACTTCTAAAATGCCTTGATCATGGATGGTGAATGAGGTAGTTCATTATGAATGGGGCCATTTCTGATGACGCTCAGGATATGGGCAGACAAACCGGGAAGTGAGATGTGCCTTCATCAGTAATGAAGGCGGGAGGGAGGAACTCAGGGGAGCTTAGAAAGGTCATGTGAAGCTTCAGAGGATGCAAAGCAATGTCCTCTCATTTCCAACAGTTACCTTGTTCCTTTGCATCACGGTGCTTCACAGCCTCTCTCAGCTGCTTCTGCAGAACTAAAACTGGTAGAATCCCTCTTCGGGATGCAGCCTCCTCCCTAAGTGCTGCCCTGAAGTGGATCAAGCTACTGGAATTGCTTTGTCAGGATGAATTGGGTAATCTTTTCGTTTCATTGAAGTGAATTATTATGCCTTCATGGCCTGAATCACTTCATCAAAGTGAATCCATGTCACTCTGCAGACACTGACATTTATCTAGTATCATATTTTTATGTGAATCTTGGGCAGGATTAAGCAACCAAGAGCCCATTGTATGCAGCTCCCAGAACTTCTAAGACTGCACTATGCAATTCCAACTCCTGATTTATAGAAGCACAATGGGGTGGCATGGTTAAATAGGTTTATTAAGCTTAATGCACCAATTTGTATTACAGGAACCCTCCCAACTTGGAAAACAGAAAATCCAGACTGAACATTTTGACTACACCTTTCTCAATGATGTGACTGCATGGATGTTGCAATTCCTGGGGAAAGGAAGGAAGGAAGAATCTGAACTATGACCCTCACCGATAAAAGTTCTTTGTTCTTCCCTGCTCTAGAGTTTATATTGTTCTGCCCACTCATAACTGGCCAATCAGGAAGCAAGAGGTAGTAATATGCCTTCTGGTATCTCAGTGACTATTAGTTCTTTAGTATTTGTGTAATCAGATGAGTGACAGTTATGATTTATTGCACAACTAGCTCCTTTCCTGCTCAGCACTGCAGGTCTGTGTCACCACTGCCATCAGATGTCCTGATGTACCCTGAAGAGAACCACATCATTCATGAACTGAGAGTTGGCCATGAAACTATACCATATTAGTAGCTTATGATCAGTAGCTTACTGAAAAGGCTGTCCCACTCATCCTCTTTCTCTTCATCCTCCTCCAGCACATGGAACTGAAGCACATGGTTTAAGTGGAGGTTTCGGAGAAGTTCTTCACAGTAAAATGGGTTTCCATGACTTCTTTGTATTAAAAATCTGTAGGTAAGGTGGAGAGAGAGAGAGAGAGACAGGCGGGCAGGCAGGCAAACAGACAAAGGGAGAAGAATGATCATAGATAAATGTCAGGTTTAAGGCATAATTCGTGAACTGCTGCATTACAACGGTGCTTCCAACTTCTGTTTCAGCAGGCAGGCAAGTTGTAAACTTAATAAACTCCAAGTATCTCTGGGCTTCTGAAACCTCAGTGGTTGTGCATGAAGCTACCTAGAACTGGTTAGTAATACTGCAACTCTCCAAATCACATGTTCACTACTAGGAACCCCAGAGATGAGAACAGGCGTTGTAGAAATTGCTCTCATTAGTTGGTACAGCACCAGGACTTCTTAAACAAGTCACAATGGCATGGTTTCTACATCTCTTTAAATTCCAAGATGAAAGAAGCCACATTAGGTCTTTGCATTATATGTGACCCAAAAATAGTTGTGGTTTGCTGGTGTGGTCTGCCTACTCTTTCTGAACTATTTTATAGATGGTCTTGTTAAATACAGTTAGTCCCCAGTTTAAGAACAAGTTCCATTCCCAAGGTCTGTCCTTAAGTCGAATTTGTATGTAAGCTGGAACAGTATTATTGTATAATACTGTATAAGTAGTATTGTGTAATGAACTTGAACCATTGTGTATCTGACTCGAATCATTGTGTATTTAACGTCTGCCTACTCTTTCTGAACTATTTTATAGATGGTCTTGTTAAATACAGTTAGTCCCCAGTTTAAGAACAAGTTCCATTCCCAAGGTCTGTCCTTAAGTCGAATTTGTATGTAAGCTGGAACAGTATTATTGTATAATACTGTATAAGTAGTATTGTGTAATGAACTTGAACCATTGTGTATCTGACTCGAATCATTGTGTATTTAACTTGAATTTTGCTACAATAGGCTTCATTCTTAGCTATGGGTCTGAAAACTGGGTGTTCTTAACCTGGGGACTCCCTGTATTTAATATTTTAAAATTTTATTAAACCTTATAAAGTTTGGTAGGTAGCTTACAGATACTGATTCCTTAAGAAAAGAATCTCATTATTATAAGAACTGCTGCTATGCCTGTAAGTTAGTTGTGGTTGTTGGTGTGTAATCTGCCAACTGTTCCATAATAGTGGAACAACTCCTCGACTGATACAAATACAATTGAGGAAGCTCACATTCTGACATAATATGTGAACACACAATCCCTACACTTATCAAAATTCTCCCTTTCCTAACAATAAAAGTTACTAAATTGAGTCATGTGGCGTGCAACTAATAGCAAAGCTGATAGTTATAAATGGTGGTAGAAGGTGGTAATATATAACTCTCTGGGTGAACTTTCCCCTAGTGGGTGTGTAACTGATAACCTGCTATCAGAAAGATTATAGGCTTTGGTCAACAGGCTAGAAGAAGTCAGGTAGTTTTGCTTGAAATAAAAGCTTCAGAGTTGTTGATTTAAATCATTGGTTCTCAACGG